GAGACATTGAGTAAAGGAGAATACAGTCAAGCATCTGACATTTATTCTTTTGGTATGGTTATGTACGAAGTTCTAACTAGTTATCCACCATATTATAATGTTCCACATAATGAAAAACTTGCAAAGGGAATTTGTGAGGGGCTTAAACCTGAAATTAAGTGTGAAATTCCTCAATTTCTCAAAGACATAATGGAAAAATGCTGGAATTTTGAACCTCCTAATCGTCCAACTGCTAAAACATTAAAATCTCAGCTTGAGAAATATTCTTATACTTTTGATGATGGAATAAAAAAACAAGTAAGAAAACAAGTTAAAGAAGCAATTAAATCAAACAAGAATTTTATTCGATATGATCCAAATGAAACGCATCCTGAAGCAATATATACAAGTAGAAATTTGCCTTTTCTGAAATCAAAGAAACTTAAAGCTAATACACATGGTAATCTATATTTTTTAACAAAAAATGAATGATTATTTTTATATAAAATATTTGCATTATTTATTATTATAGATACAAAATAATGGGATTTTGAAGTTCCCGATGATATAAGTAAGTATTATGTTTCTTGAATTCTTTGTTCAATAATTTATCTAAATAAAATTAACAATCTTTAAATTTGCATGGTTGAAGAAAATGAAATTCAGAAAATTAATCATTAATTTTTTGGGAATTTTATTTTTTAGCCTTGATGTCATTGTGTTATTGTACAACTTTTGTATTTTCTCTAAAATTATTTATTCATTATTTTATTATATTTTGTATTTTTTTATTTTATTTGATAATTGGAATTATAAAGTATTGCTTTTGTTGTTAAAATCAAAGCAGATCAGTATTTAATCATTTAAAATAATTCATTATTGTTTTGATATTTCAAAAATCTAAATATTTGAAACTATTTATTATTTGTTTTTATACAGTTTATAAATTGTGCAAAGGCAAACTGAAAATCAATATGAGTTAACTTTCTTTACTTTATAATTGATGCAGATGCACAAACAACAAAGTTAATTGAAAATAAAGTGCTATTTATATTTATATTTTTCTATCAAATAATAATATATTTTTGCTATCAATAAAGAAAAATATTTTTTTTTAAAACAAAGTTACGTATATTCATCATTTTTTATAATCATTTTTCATAATGATCTTTTATAATTATCTCGTATAATCATTTTTGTAATTGTCATTTTTGTGATCATCTCTTATAGTTATGAAGTAATACTAATATTTTTAATTCTATCTATGATAAATAGATATTTTTAATTTGATTGATTAGACAAAATAAAGAATAACATATTAGCTTCCACTTGGTCTTGGTAAAATCTGTAAAATCAGGATATTTAAATTATCTAATGATTTATTATTTTTAAATATATGTATGTATATAACCGATTATTAATTGAATTCATTTTTTATTAATTGACTCTTTTTAAAATCCAAAAAAAAAATATCACATATCAGATATTAGATATACAGTAATGATGCTTCTGAAAGTAGTAACCATAACTAAATTTTGATAGTTAACTATCTGTAAATAGTAGTCTGTCCTGTAGTAGCCTATAATTAAAATAAATAAACAATATAGTCAAAAATTGGATCTTTATTTATAATCAATGATTAATTGCAAGTTTCATTTAAGAGTTTTATACTTGCAAATTATTATTTTCTTCATATTCTACTGCCTTTCTTTCTCAATTCTTCCTTTTCTCATCTGTTCCTTTTAATAATGATGATTTCAGCAATTTTATAACCTCATAATGGATGATTTCCTTTTTCTTTTCTTTTCCCATATCTTTTCTCTATTCCTTACTTCTATTCTTTTATTCCTTTACCCTCTTCTCTCTCTTTTCTTTCTTGTTTTAAAAATTAGATATTCAAGATTTAAGACCTCTAAATGTCTTCACAATATTTCTCTTTAGAATGATTACATTTATATTCAGAATAAATATAATGTACATAAATTATTTTCTGCTTACATGATTTGTTAACTATTGTTCAGTTGTTTGTTTTCTAAAATTTTAAATCTAAAAAATATTTGATACATTTATTAAATTTATATGCAAAATAAATTCTCATTGCATATTTTAATTCTATTTTTAAAAGAAATCAAACATATCTGATATGGTCAATTAATGATTAATAACATTTCTGTAGAAAAAAACAATGAAATTGTAAACATATTGACTTTAAATTCGTATCTTGCTTCGATAAATAAGTTAATTATTATTTAAACAATAGTACAGTACATTAACCTTAATTCGAACTTGATTTTATATTTGAATCAGATAATTTATTTTAAACAACTAAATAGATTGAAATTAAGCTATATCTCATAGATGGAGAATACATTTAATTGCTGGGAATTCATTGTCTTGGAGTTATTGTGTAACTTTTTAATAAAATGCGGAGATTAAAGCTTTTAAAAAATCTAAATTATTTTTTCAAGCTTTACTTTAGTCACAAATATCGTGAATGACAATGATATGATTATGCACAACTATAATTTAATTATTTTATCTTTAATATTACGTCTAAATGAAAAAATTGTTACAAAAAGTATATAATCTTGATTTTTCTTAGGCTAAAAATAAATAAAATAAATCTTGTTTTCATGGAAATGTTTAATGAGCATTGTTTGTTATATTTTAATTTTATACTTTTATAACTGAAGGCTAGATAAGATTTCAATTTGTAAATTAATAACTGTAAATAATTCAAGATAAAAATCGGTAGCGCTTTAGATTCAATCTGCCATACATATATAGTATAAAATAAAAACCAAAAGTTAAATGTTGATGTTACGCGTTGATTTATATATTATCATTTTCTGTTCATGTATTTCATTATAAATCATTTTTTAAGAACATATAATCTACTACCTTTCCTAGTGATAATTAAAAAGTAGGTTAATATTACATTGGTTTTAGTTTCTTTCATTGGCTTTAAATCGTTTCTTTTCTATCAACTTAATTACTTTTTTTCAATATTTACCTTAAAATATTCTTTAAATCATCAGTTAAGATACTTTCTCTTTCTTTAAATTTCAGGTTCCTTTTATTTAATTCTCCTCATTTATTTTCCACTTCCGATATCCGCTTCCAAATATTTTTTCAATCTAGCCCGGGAACAACAGAAAGGAACTTACCACCCTGCATTTTATCTATTTTTTATTTATATTTATTCTTTATTCTTTACTTTTAATTATTTTATATATTTTTTTATTTATTTTATATTTATTTTGCTTTATATGTTTTATTATTTTTTGCTCTTTTTTTTCTTAGAAGTTAGTCCATAAATTTCATAACCATTGAGTACGCTGGTAATCCTGCTCCCGTTGTTGTTTTTGGTGGATTACGGTATTGTAACATGGATATCCATCATCATTATTATTGTTATTATTGGTATTATTATTTTTGAATTTAATAGGATTAAAAAAGAAACAGAAAAAAGCATGACATTGCTAACTTGATCAACAACACGAATTTTTATTTTCAAAAAATGTTTGTTTTTTTACTACAAAGTTTGATATATATTTTAATTTCCCAAAAAAATTATTATTTTATTTTGTTAAATTACCCAATTAAAATACTACAATCTACTGGCGCGAGACCTTCCTCTAACAATCAAATCGGTATCATTATTTCTGATTTGATCATCGATGTCTCTTTGCCTTCTATGAGGAGTGAAACAATTGGCGTTGTCCTATGTGTTAAGTTGTAATTGTAAGAAGAAGTAAATTTAAGTATATGAAAAAAGATAAAATAAAAAAATTCTGAAAATAATTATTAAATGCAATTATAATAATAATAATTTACCTCAAAGAAGGTTTTAATTTTTGAAGCTCTCTTGCCAGTAATTCTATTGTAGTCATCAGTAGCACGAGCTTTTCCTTCTCGAACATAATCCAAATAATCGAGTCTATTATATTGTTGAAAGTAGGATTAAAAAAAAAAACAGTAGTGCACTTAATTTTTTAATTAATAATAAATTCATAATTACGTAAGTTCAATCTCGGAATCACTCAAAGGGAAGAATGGTTTGGGGTAACGTCTACGATTATTTGCGGTGTTGATAAGGAATGGTATCACGTCAAGATTTCTTTCAAGAACTTCAATTGATTCGATCCCTTCTTTAATAATTCCTATCATAATAGCTTTATTCGTGTTATCTAAAACTTCGAGTTTCTCAAGGTCAATGCGTTTCAATCTTTCTATAACACCTTTTAAGTCATTAACAAATTCCAGAACTGTTCTTTCAAATTTAACTTGATGTTCAACATCTCGCGAGTTTCTCTGAATATCAAATAATTGACCTCCTCGTCCATTAAGTTGACTATCAAATAATTGACTTCTTCGAACATATCGTGTATTGCGTCCATTAAGTTGACTATCAAACAATAAACCCCGTACATTCCTTACATCTCTTCGTCCTTTTTCTTGTCCATCAATTAAATGACCTCGTACATTCCGTTGATCTTCATCACAAAGTCCTCTACGTTGAAGATATTGATTTAATGTATTTCTTGAGACTTGTCGTGGAATATTGTCATCTGTTTGGTTGTTACGAAGTTGATTTTGGACAATTCTTCTTTCTTCATTATTTTCAATAACAAATTCATTAAGAAGGAATTCGGCGTTTTCAATTCTATTAAGACCCTCACGGAAAGTAATTTTTCCTGATTCTAAAGTTTGTTGAGTTCCTTTAAAGAAATCAGCCAAAGAATCGTGTAAGAGGGATAAACCGCGATATATGAGATATACCGCATCACGTTGAGTAAGAATTTCATCATCACTTTCACAATCATCATCACGTTCATCAAGTTTTCGAAGATATTCCTCAAGATTATGACGACTCACAGAACGATATTCAACTTCACCTTTGGAAACTACTTTGTTAATAATATCGGAAATTTCCTTTCCATTTAAGGTTTCAGGACCAGTTATTGTATAACTCTTATGATGATGTCGTTTATTTAATCCTGGTTGAAGTTTACCCTCTTGTAACATTAATGCACAAATAGCAGTATTAAGATCATCAAGATGTATTGGAGCAAATTCGTCAGTTTCACGTTGAGTCATGTTGATTTCTCCCTTATCTTCAATATTACGAGAAAAAAGAAACATCTAAATAAAAATTAATTATAAGAATATATAGATAGCTGTAAATTTTGAACTCTGAATTAATTTATAAAATACTTACGCCTTGTTGAATGAAGGCAGATCTGAAATAATAATAATAATAATAATGAGAATATGAAATTAATTTAAAAAAATTCTATCAAATATATGAATTTAATTCAATTGATTGAAATAATTACCTAAGGACTACAGGATTTTTTGCAGTTTCGCAAAAGATTCGTTCCACTTCATTGAAATCGGAATGGGTCTTTGATCGTTCTTCATCAGAACCTTCGAGTGAAATGACAATAACATTATCAACATCTTTTCTTTTAGCAGCCTAAATTATTAAAATTATAATAAAAAATAAAAATAAAAAAATAAATATTATTGTTTTTTTTTGATAATAATAAAAGTAAAAATATTTTGATAAATTGCTGACGAAATTTACTTCAGCTAAAATCTTAGCTTCTTTAACACGATCTTTATCATGTTCAATGAGAAACACCAAGTAACCACATCCATGTAAAGCGTCTTCAATTGTCTCAGTTCTATCATAATCGATTTTGTAAATTTCACCACCAAGATGTTCTAATTGTTTGATTGGTCTTGTTTTGGTATCTTGAGCCATGCAACGAATTGTGACTATTTTTCCAGCTTCCAAAAGGAAATTTCTAGCAACGACATTACCCAACCAACCGTCAGTTGAAGAAACAGCAATTCTATGGTGAGCATGTTTACCAGTGGTGGCAGAGTGGAAAGATGACATCATTGATTTTTGTTATTCGTTTATTTCGTTAAAAAAAAAATTTTTTTCAATTATATTTAAAGGAAAAAAATATAAGACAAATTTTATCGCAACTACAATTAAATTCAATTAAAATGATGCAATTATAGGAAGAAAACAAAGCCTCAGAGCGGGGCAAAAAACCAGAGAATTTATTGCTTTTCTAAACATTGTACGCAACGTCAAAAGAAGTAAATAAACGAGTTTTTCGGTTCATTTTTAGAATAGTAATAACCCTTATATTCTTGGCGTCAATATTACTCAATTATTCCCTTCATTCCCACGTTATTTTTAAAATCCATCAATTAAAAATCCTTTTCTGAATAATAAATTTTCTTTGTCTTTATTAGCTTCTCGATCATGAAATAATAATAATAATGATAATTATTTTTAAGTAAAAAGTCCTGTGCTGATTTATATAAGGACATAATCAGAGAACGATTCGATTTATTGAGAGCTATGAAAGATGTTTATTATTATCATTAAAAAATATTGATAATAATAATAATAAAACGTACCCCTACCGCCAGGAATTATAATTTATATGCATTAAACGCCTTTCACAAATGCTCTTTGGAAATAATAATAATTTATTACTTTCAAATTATAGTAAACTAAATTTGGAAGTTTAATCATGATCGATCTAAAAAAAAAAAATATAGACCAAACACAAAAAAATGGCAGACAATGGTAAAGAAATATTACCCCTTATACATTATCTGTTATATAGATAAATCGGATTTTCAATCTTTTCAATCTTTTCTCAGTAATTTCACACGCACGCACATAAAAAATCCTTAATTTTCACACACGAATTTATTCTCAATGATTAACATGAGGTGAGATCTTGGCCTTAGGAATAATAATGATTTTCATTATACTGTAAGTATCCAATCGTTTTCTGTTTATATAGATTGTATTTTTTTTTGTAGTATTTTTAACCTGATAAAGATAATAAATAAAAACAAATCATTTAGATTAATTTTCCTCATCACGCGCGAATTTTATTCGTTCGCATTACTATTACTATTTTATTTCTTATCACATTACTTTTGATTTTTTTTTTTGCAATTAGGTATAAGAACAAGTCTTAATGTGGCGAGAAAACTGGAACAAAACTTAGTTAAAGATAAATTAAATGATTAGTAGTTATTTGCTTATGTTTTTTTCACTTATCTTGGAAAACGCTTGCTTCGTTTCAGTTATATTTTTGATAAATTATTGTTTGCGTTTTTTTTTTATTATTTAACACATTAAGACATTAAGGAAATGAACATAAGCGGATGAAATAAGGTATATACCTTATTCATGTATTTGAATTTATATATTGGGTTAACAAATATTCTTCCTCAAAGAAAGGGTTTTTTAATTCAATAAAAATTATCTATGAGTTTATAATGAACTTGGAGAATAATTACTTTGACATTTGATTGGTTGATATTTTCTCCTGTTACTTTAAGCTATATGTTAGTTTCTATAAAGACATTCTAGAAATTTATCGGAGTAACACAACTAGCACCACGACTATAATTCTTCTCTCTACACATAATGACAGATAGCAAAATACTATTTATTTTCTGCCTACGCTTTGAACAAAAACGCATATTTCTTTATTTTCCATGTCTCAAGAAAAAGAAATATTTTATTGTCCAGCTGGCCATTCTTCTAATGATTTAATTTAAAAAGTAATCAAATCTCAAAAATATAAATCATCCCTATCATCAAGTATATCTCATCCACAATCATGTTATATTAGCCGAAGTATTCATACTCTTCATGGATTGCATAATTCATTAGAAAATATAAAATCTGGAAAATCTCAAGGTAATCTTTAATTATCTAATTTTAATAAATAATTAATTAATTATTAAATTTTAAATTTATAGATCCTAATTTATTAAAGTCTAATGAATCAACTGCTTCAAGTGTTAGTACTTATGATATTGATTCTAAAGAATCACAAGAATGCTTTAATTGGGAAAAAGAAATTCAAAATCATACAAAAAAAAAGACCATTCACTGATATTTCAACTTTAGATTGTAATTCTCGAGAACCCAAAGAATGTATTAATTTGGATAACGAAGACAATATTACATCTAAGAAAATCAAAAAAGACTAATTTAGGTCTTCAATTTTTTAAAAAAAAAATTCCAAAAAATACAAAATGCCAATCAAATATTATTTTGCTTATTTTTATTGTAGGAGTAATTTTTTTTGTTTATTATTTTTATTAAACTTATTTATTTCAAGATTAATATTAAGTTTTGAATAGTCATTGTTTATAATTTTGTGATTATAATAATAAAAATTAATTTTGATTATTTTTAAATTCAATCAGAAGATAATGCTATCAAAACAAGAGATAGCATATCATTTTTTAAAAAACTTGACTCGAAGATTTCAACGATAGATAATATATTAATAATAAACTTGAAGTTTGAATAATATATTTTAAATCTATTCTATTTTTGAGAAGATCGATCTTGTTCATCAGGAAATTTTTTAGGAATAAATCTCCGTAAAGTTACGACACCCTATGTATACTTATAGTATTTATACGGGGTCGTTATGACTTTAAACCGGAATATATTAGCGGATATCAGTGCTGAAAGGATATAACACAAGCCATCTTATAGCCTAGAATCAGGTGGCCATAATGCACCTTGATAAAAAAATCCTTCCTGTCCCACAAATAGCGATCGAAGTCAAAAAAAAAATTCCGTTTTTTTGATTTCGATCGCAATTTGTAGGACAGAGAGGAATTTTTGATTAAGATATTTTTATAACTGAACGAAAGCCTTGATTCTGGGTTACAATATGACATGTGTTTTATCCTTTTAGCACCGATATCCACCAACACATTTCGGTTTAAAGTCAAAACGGCCGTATAAATACCATAAAATATACAGTAACTAAATACTTAAACTATAGAGATCGCACGGATACTACCTAAATTAACAAAACTAAAGGTTAAATTGCGTAAAAGGAATTATATTGGGTCAATTACAAAAGATGTGTCAGTGATATGAGGACATAACATAAGAAGATAAATATTAACAATTAACAATTAATACTCTTAATCTGTATTAATTATCAGAACTCCGAATTAGAACTAGAGGGACTATCCAGAAATGACTAGAACTATTAAGAACT